CCCCCCCAAACCTAACCCTAACCCTAACCCTTAACCTTAACCCTTAACCTAACCCTAAACCTAACCCTAACCCTTAACCTAACCCTTAACCTAACCCTAAACCTAACCCTAACCCTTAACCTAACCCTAACCCTAACCCTTAACCTAAACCTAACCCTTAACCTAACCCTAACCCTAACCCTAACCCTTACCTTAAGTTGAATCGGCTTGCTTTCAAAGCGCTATTTAAAGCGCCCTTCTTTCTCTGCGCTGGCTGTTGTCGCCCTGTTGGTGACGTCAGCGACGCAGTTTATTTGGGCGCGGTTTTGTGGTGGAACCACTCTCCACAGGTGTGTATCAGTTTACAAGTAATTTACAAATAATAACAGTAATATTCAATGATACAGTTACAATCACAAAATCAACACAATCTGAGTGCAAAGATATACAGCTGCTTTTAGGATGTTCAGGGGGAATAGAAGAGGCCACCACTCAGGCCAGAAAGACCAAAATTTGCTACTCCTGCAATGAGAAAAAAAAAAAAAAATCACAAACAAAATCTTTGCATACCACCATGACTACATCAGTTTTTGGAAATGTTCATTCTCAATAGTCTTCTCCAGGAACTATTTTCCACAGGTGTAGTGATTTGCCCTTTGTCTCCAGTTTGGGCTCCTGCTTCAGTGGTTAGCAGGGCTTGGTAGGATCTGTCCCAGGCTTGGCTAAGTTTTTTTCTTCACATCAGGTTTTATCAGGACCCAATCACCTGCAGCAAATTCAAGAGGTATGGTTTGACCTAGCAGTGCTTGGTTTCTGAGGTAAAGAAGAAGAGCCAAGTATACAGTTCTTTACAGACATCTTTAGTCTCATATTGTGGAAATTCCCCCATTCTGTCCAAGTGTGGAAATCCAAACATTATTTCAGAAGGCAGATGATTTAAATTTCATGGAACGTGACATTCCCACTGCCAACTGAAGCACTTTTGCAATAAAATGAGTAAATTTCACATATTTGTCACAATTCAACACATCCAGAAATTTTCAAAAACAAATCATATCATACCTTAGCCATCCCATGACTCCCCTGGTGTTCAAAATCAACATTTGCCATTTATCAGGTACATTTATCTCCACATTTTCTACTTTTTTCGGAAACTCCTCTTATTTTTACTCCAAAGTCCTTAGTATTATAATTACTTCAGTCATATAATCTAATACATTGTAAAACTCAAGTCATATATCCTAATTTAGATTTATATCAGACAGATTCCTTTCTGGCAGTGTTTATCTTTTGTTATTCCTGATTGGCCTATTAACAGCACAAAAGGTAT